CCGATAAGTTCTTATTTTTGCATTTGGTTTCTTATTACCGTCTATATTGTTAGGTTTGTCAGTTTGTTTGGGAATTTAGCCTTATTTTATGTCATTGGGTATGTTTAGATCTATGAGAACATGGATGGTTGTGTCAAGCCCGTTGCATGGTTAGCGATTCGTGTTGCTCTTTCAGGGGTGACCGTCTCTAAGTCTGATCATATACCGTTGTAGTTGTTGGAGTCTAATTGGGGTCAGATTTGTTTTTCCTTTGATTAATGTAATAATTCTAAAACTTATGATATGAATAGAGACAAGTATCCGTTAAAAAAATGTTCCACAATCAAACTTCTTTATCAATATACTAGTTTTATGACGCGCGTTGCGCGATTCCTTAGTGCCCAATTTTTTATTTATTAAAGTAAACATTAGCTTATATAATTTTTTTATGCTGGAATGAAAAAGACTAATCAACACCTTTTATATTTGTGTCAAGAAATGAATAGTGAATTTATATTTTTTTATTAAACATTCATCTTATTCAGTGTTGTTGGATGGATGCAATTTTTGCATGAGCCAAACAAATATAGATAATAGAAGAAAACATATTCACACATAATGGATGTTGAAGAAATTTGAAGTAGTAATAACATAAGTTTGGAGTATAGTATTTCCTTTGCATGAAAATATTTTCTAGGTAAAAGTGTGAAAAAGGTATTTGTGATTGGACCCATTTTCAGATAAAGTCTTGCGTTTCATTTTTTTTTTATCAAAGTGGTTCATGTGTTTGAATTCCGTTATCACAAGAGGGTCAGGCCGTTATAAACGTTTGAGAAAGACGGTTAATAGTAACTACGATTTTCAAAAGTGACCGAAAATTTGAAAGAAAAATACCGGAAGGTGCACCTCAACAAGGCGATCGGTAGACTATCTTTCTTTTTTGTTTCTAGCCAGAAAGTTCACCGGAAAAGTGATATTAGCGAAATCATTTTTAAAAAATGATTCAATCAGATCCGAAAAATCCAAAGGCGAAGGTGGTTTGGAGGTCATCTGATCTTGACGAGACGCACCTTCCAGTATTTTTTTTTTTCATTTTTCGGGCACTTTTGAAAATCGGAGTTACTATTAACCGTCTTTCGTAGACGTTTTTAACGGTGTGACCCTCTTGCGATAAAGGAATTCAAACACATGAATCACTTTGATAAAAAATGAAACACACAACCTTATCTAAAAACGGGTCCAACTACAAGTATCTTTTCCGTACTTTTTCATATTTTCTATTAACATCAGGTGCGAGTGGAAAATTTAATTCGAATTGAGTATGGTGGAGGAAAACATTAAACTATTAAAGATAATAATAAGCATAAATGAAACTGCCCGGATGGCTGAAATATCATTCTCATAGTTAAATTATTTGTCGTGCTTGGCATACGAACCTTACACCAACTTTATCGTAACAATAGTAGCATGCATCTACATGACTATATTGATGACAAAATTTCTTAAATTGGATTAAAGTGTACAAATAAGATTGTCATTTTGTCTTATAAAACAAGACCCATTTTGTCTTATAAAATAAGACACCAGACCCCCTCAGCTTAACATAACACCCTTCTATGTTAATTTGTATACTATCTTCACCTGAGGCATAGCTCACCTGATAGGATGAGGCATAGCTCACCTGATAGGAAGGTGTCACAAAGAAAATATCTCAGATTCAACTCCAAGCAATGACTTGAGATGTAATCTCATTTTCTTTTCATGTATGATCACAACTCCACTTACATCCTCCCAGATAACTGTCCAATTGGTTCTTGAAGCCCTCAGTGATGAGGTGTCATCCTTTTTTTTGTATACTTTATCTTCTTCGAATGCCCTATCTAGCTATTTTTAGTTTTTATTTAGAAGTCATTTTCTCTTCGAATTAATTTTAATGTTCACAATCAAATGAAATTGTTTGATAAACCTTTTAAATGACAAGGTTACTCTGATTCTAGATAAATATTACATGCCGGTGCACATGAGATTGTCCTAAACTATTTGTTGATCAATGAATAAGTAAATTGATCAATAGCCAAACTATCATAAAGTAAAATTCAAGGTGTAGAAAACACAAGAAACTACAAGTAAAATCTTTGTACAAATTTGCAAACAAGCACACAGATTGTCAAAGGAGTATCAGGCATATGTAGCTTGAATTTTGGATATACTTTGAAAGAGAATGAATCTCATATCCACTGCTCGAATACAAAAGTTAAGAATGACATAAAAAATCGAAAAAATCATGGCAATTACATTCACGTGTAAATAGTTACACTAAAAATTGAGTACCAAAAAAGGCCAATTTCCATTATATATATTTTTTGTGGTTATGATAAGAAAACACACCAATATCACTCTCTCCAAATTGAAATTAGCTCTTATCATGTACAATATATATACAAACAAATCGCACATAACATTCATGAATTTAAAAATGCAAATCAAGTGAAATCATAAAAAAAAGGGAAGAAAGTGAAATCAAGGTACCGATGGCTGAATAAAATGAAGAGACCAACGCTTCCATTTTAACGGCGTAACAGGGAAAAAACGGTAAAAACATATGGTTCAATGATGGAAGCATATTGTACAACAATATATTGCTTTGTGTTACACTAACACATTTAATATACCAAAAGTACCCTAACCTTGATTGGTGTTTATAAGATTTTAGATTAGAGTGACATACATTAATATATTAGTTTCCTTATCTACCAAAAATTAATTAAGTAAAATGATTACGTGATTGATCTCCAAATATTACTCATTTAATGCAATAATAATTTCAATTTATGCCTTTCTAAATGAGCGGGAATTTCGCCTCAAAAAATTGTAGCAACTATGCTATTTTATTATATATAATATAAAGATTTATAATAATAAAACAATTTCTTTACGTGTATTTGTACTCCCTCCGTCATTAAATGAACTTCCAAATTTCATTTTTCGTTCGTTCCAATTAAACTTCCACGTTATTTTTTTTTGTAAGAATGTATAATTTGCAACATTTTATATATACGTAGTATATTTTTCTTTTCCGCACAACTTTTCATCACACAATAAACATTATTTAAATATCATACTATCCTCCGTCTCTTTTTAATCGCAACATGTTGAATTTTACACTATTCACATGTTATACTTTAACTACATTTTATGTTATTATTTTATGAAAATTATTTTTTTAAAAAACATTGTTCAATTCATCTCATTACAAATTTTCAATATCTAATTTTTAAATATTTTTTACGAATAGAGATTAAGAAATAATTACGGTCAAAGACATGCGTTGACAAGTATGAAATGTTGACTGTTGCAACTAAAAAAGAACGAAGGAAGTACTATTTATATTATTATGAAAGTTTTATTGTCTGAGGGAGTACAATAATTGTATATTCGAAGTGAACATGAAATATTTGAACTTTCCACCTACCAAACTTCCAAACCTACCAAAAGGCGCTACGTACTAGGGTAACTCTTGTCTTGGGCGCCAAGTCAAAAAAGCCGCTCCAAAAAAGCTGGACAGAAAACACGCTTCGCGAAGGATTCTCCAATTTCCTTGGGCACAAATAGTCTTTTCCTTTTCCGTTCTTTTTAGGTTCCCTACGCTTTCGTTCCGCATTCTCTCTTAAAGACCGCCGCACACCGACTCCTCCTTCGCGCAGAATAATAGTTTACGCCATTGTACAGCCAGAAGGTTTGAAACTCCGAATTTGACTTCATAATTTTGGCCTTTGAAAACCGATTTGAAGGCCCAAATGCAGAGAGTAGCGCTGATTCAGAGGTTTTCGAGGCTTTACCGTGAAAATCCTAAGCTTTCTAAGTTGTTCATTGTTTGCACAGTGAGGTGTGTTTTCTGATTCTCGTTTTTTGTTCCGGATTGTTGTTAGATCTATAGCAATGCTCTGTTTCACGATTACATTTTGTGCATGTGCAGCATTGAGCATTAGTGTCTGGTTATATGCTTAAACCTCATCCTGACTAACCTTCTAGAGAGTATGAATTATCTTTTGAATGGTTGATCTGATATGTCGTTAATGCGTTTGTACTTCTATGTTTGTAAACGATGAAACTCGGTTGTTGGAATCATATCGAGCCTCGTTGGGCCTCGACATGGTATTAGATCCATATAAAGCAAAAAATTAAGTGTGAATGCTGAATTAGTTTTACATTGAAGGCAATGAAAATCTCCGTTCTAGTAGATCTGTACTGTGCTTTCTTTCAAAGTATGAATTATTACTGGAAAATCTAAACTTTTATGTTTACTTTCTTCATTTCGTAGTGGTGTGGGCATTGTCACATACTCTGTTGCAACAACTCCGTACCAGCAGGAGGTTCAGAACAAGAAAAAGTTGGTGGTACTTGGAACTGGTTGGGCTGCAACTAATTTCTTGAAGAACCTGAATGATCCTTCATATGAAGTCCAGGTGGTATCCCCCCGGAATTACTTTGCGTTCACTCCTTTGCTTCCAAGTGTAACATGTGGCACTGTTGAAAGCCGCAGCATAATTGAACCAATTCGTAACATTATTCGAAAGGTAAATTGAGCATCAATGGGCCAACTAATTGCACCCTACCCTGTCTGGAACATTAATAATCACTTTTTTTTTCTCATAAAATATCTGTGATTGGAAAAACTGAATGCAGAAAAATGTAGACATGCATTACTGTGAAGCAGAGTGTGTCAAGATTGACCCAAAAAGCAAGAAGGTTTATTGTCGATCTGATGTGAACAAGAGTTCAGACGGAAATGAAGAATTTGATTTAGATTATGACTACCTTGTGATTGCCATTGGAGCCCGTGTAAACACATTCAATATTCCTGGTGTGCTAGAGCATACCTACTTCTTAAAGGTAAGAACAAGCACTTTTTTCATAAACAAAAGTTTCTGATGCACCACATGTCTTAAAAGATAAAAATGAAACTACATGTATATGCAGGAAGTGGAAGATGCTCAAAGAATTAGAAGAGTTGTTATTGAGAGTTTTGAGAAAGCCAGTCTGCCTAACCTCAGTGATGAAGAGAGGAAAAAACTCCTTCACTTTGTCATTGTTGGTGGTGGCCCAACTGGCGTTGAATTTGCAGGACAGCTCCATGATTTTGTGAATGAAGAAGCAGCGAGGTTATACCCAGAGGTCAAGGATTATGTGAAGATAACACTGATTGAGGCAACCGACCACATATTGAATATGTAATTTTCTTTGCAATCACAATATATGTAATGTTCCCATTTATGTGCTCTCTTTTTAAACTCCTGTCCTCCAAAAACTGTTTTACATTAGGTTTGACAAAAGAATCACAGCTTTTGCTGAAGAGAAGTTCCAGAAAGATGGAATTGATGTCAAGACTGGATCAATGGTTGTGAAGGTTTCAGATAAAGAAATCACTACTAAAGATGCAAAAACTGGGGAGATTACATCTACACCCTATGGAACGGCTGTGTGGTCTACTGGCATTGGAATTCGCCCCGTGATCATGGACTTCATGAAAGAGATTGGCCAGGTATGCATATTTTTTGCTTGTTATTGTCTTTTTTACCAAGATAGTAAGCTACTAAGCTTTATGCTACTTTGCTATATCAATATATTTGACATGTTCAGTTCTGCACATTTCTAGGGCCAAAGGCGTGTACTTGCAACTGATGATTGGCTAAGGGTTGAAGGATGTGAAAATGTATATGCACTTGGGGACACCGCTACAATAAATAGACGCAAAGTTATGGTAAGCAATTCTTTTGGATCCTGTTGCAACTCGAAATATGCTAGGCAAATAAAGGAAGTATAATAAAAGTTATTTAGACAAGATTTGGAATGAAAAAGAAAATGTCAGGGAAAATCAAAGATACACGGATACACAATGTGATACATGTTAACTCTATTCATTCTTATTACTGATATTATGACAATATATTCTAAAAACTTGGGAGTACTATATAGGCGTATATGTTTTTTACACATGTTTTTATGCCTTCCAGTTTTTTGTTCGTGTTTAAATATTTACACATATATTTGTATTGTTGGTGTATATTTCTAGAAAACTAATCCTAAGAGTGGTTAAAAAAACTATTTTTATAGCTTTGCCCAAACACTTCAAAATTCTATTCTGCTTGTAAAGTGCTACTTTGTCCTTCTCGAAGGAGCAAAGTCAGTGACTCAGTTCTACATCTAAATACAAACACTTCATACCGGTGTATCATTATGTGTGTTTAATTTAATGTGTCATGTTTGAATTACCTGTGTATCGATCTGCGTATTTATTTTGTCTTGTGTGAAATTGGAAATCTATGCAGGAAGATATTGTGGCCATATTTCGCAAGGCGGACAAGGATAACTCTGGAACACTAACAGTTAAGGAATTTCAAGATGTCCTAGCTGATGTCTGTGAAAGATACCCACAAGTGGGGCTCTACCTGAAAAACAAACACATACGTAATCTGCTTGATTTGCTGAAAGAGGAAAAAGGTGGTGATGTTAACTCGTCTGTTGAGGTTAATATTGAAGAATTCAAATCAGTTCTCTCCAAAGTGGATTCTCTTATGAAGATTCTTCCTCCAACCGCTCAGGTTCTGTCTCCAAGTTTCATTTTATAATCATGAGTTTTAAATTTCTTGATTTTTATTTAATTCTATGTAGAATATCTTAACGGATGACAGATTAAACCATTAAAGTTAAAAGAATTTTTCAAACATAATAAAAAGACAATATGTAGTCTTTGATCATTTCTATCCGTCTTCCAATAAAAAACTCTAGTTCAATTTCTTCGGTTAACTTTTTGTTTCTTATAGTAATCTAAGACTGATCCTCATAGTTTCTACAAAATACTTTTGTTGTAACTCCAGGTTGCATCTCAGCAAGGCATTTATCTTGCAAACTGCTTTAACCGCATGGAGGCGTGTGAAAAGAATCCAGAGGGTCCCCTTCGGTTCAGGGGAGAAGGGCGCCACCGTTTCCATCCTTTCATGTATAACCATCGAGGACAATTTGCACCTCTGGGAGGAGAGCAAACGGCCGCACAGCTTCCTGGAGACTGGGTTTCAATTGGCCATGGCCCTCAATTGCTTTGGTACTCTGCTTATGCCAGGTTTGTTTCGTCACCTTTGAAAACCTGTCCCTAAATGTGCTCGCGATTTAGGATTTATTATGGTCATCACTGTGTAATTTGGACATAAAAATACCCTTTAATTAGATGACTACATTTGGTCTAAGTGCATAAAATTATATCTTTTTATCTTAACAATAGTGATATATTTTCAGCATGCAAGTGAGCTGGCGTACAAGAGCACTGGTGGTGTCAGATTGGATAAGGCGTTTCATCTTCGGCAGAGACTCAAGCCAGCTCTGAAGAGGGAGTTGGTTGTTCTTACAAACACACTTCTTACGTGCCATTCTGTTGGGGTTTCAGTCCATTGTACTCATCACTGAGAATGGGAAATTCTTTGGTGTTTACCTTTTCCTTTTCAATTCTTTAAAAAAAACTGCTCGCGCTCCATTAAGTTGGCTGGTTGTGCCCAAATTTTGCAGCTAGTTTTGAGATTGCAATAATCAAGAGATTATAACAATTGTACCGTGTACTATTGCATAGCTGCTCTCGTTACTAAGTTTCACTTCATTATTTCATACTTTCATCATTAAATATTATGCGTTTTATATATGTTCATTTTTTTAATTATCAGCATCATCATTATTATTAATCGAGTTGCGTTAAGGGATTGTTACTCAAATGATTGTAGAAATAACATTAGCATCTCCTAATTGCGTCCAAGTATATGAAGTGCATTTGGATCCTCCATCTTAAATCAGTCTACTAGTGTTACCATGCTATTTACAGGTTTTAATACTTCGTAATAAGGAACACACGCTTAAATTTATCCAAGTCTCAGACTAGAAAGAATTTGAAGACTACATAAAAGTATGTATACATAAAAGTATGTATAATAGTCTTGATTGGATTAGATATGAGTGTATCAGTATATCGCTTACTAAGTATGTAGCATTATTTTAACTTGCATATAATATCATAGTAGTATCTTACTGAATCGATCTAGATTATATGAGACTTGCATAAACTAGACAAAATTAGTTCATATTAAGAATTTAAGATCAATAAAATTCAAGTCAAAATGAACAGGCAAGCTAAGTAGCACAGAAACATGAAACGGGAAACGGGAAACGGGAAACACGAGAAACGTAATTTCTCAAAAATATAGGACACGAAATGTGGGGGAAATGCGTAAATATTATAAAGTATAAGGATATATTTATAAATATTTTTTAATATATGTACACCAGTTTTTCCATATGCACATGTTTTTTTAATATAATTTGTTTAGTAACCAAATAATAAAATCACTCTACATGTTCGAATATAGATATTATTTCATATTAAACATAAAATGTACGGAGTAATACATTTCTAGCAATACATTGCGTTACGAAATGTAACAAGTGTTGCCGCTTAGAAATACCACAAAAATTCACTATAAAAAATTATTTCCACCACAGAATCTTTTGAAAAAGAAAAAAAAATTGGAATATGAGGTTTCCGAAACGTAGTGAAACGGGTTTCCAAATTTTTCTTAATTATGGAAACGGCCCCGAAACGGGAATTTGAAGTTTCCGAATTTCCAAAACACTCCCGAGTTTCCGAAACGTGGAAACTTAAGCCATGGAGAGTTTCCGTGCTTCGTAGCAGGCAAGAGGCTTAAAAGCCTCACTTATCTCATCTCTTCTTACTTGAGCAAAAGGACATAATTAAGTATATTCTAACATTCTTAATTAAGATTCGACTTGGATGTGATCTTCATTTTAGGCGGAAAATTGTTATATCATCATCACAAAATACTTCATACTGTGCAAAGAAAAACAACATTTAGGTCTTCAAACATACTCCCATTACTCCGTACATATTAGAATAGAACATCAGAGTTTTGCCGATATTCCCAAGAAAAAAAAACAATTATCTTATTGATTGTCCTGGATATTAAGTTTCGTCTTTTAAGATCAATTGCTCATTTTCCCCAATAATTACATAAAGTTCCCCCAATCAATAGGACCTCCTTCAATTAGGTCATCAAGTCCAATCATATTCTCTGGCCTTTCATCAAGCAATATCTCTTTGTTCATTTACCCAGCAGCCTTTTCCACTTGTTGCATCAAGACCTCCTGGTGCTAATTTTATCATAATGGCCAATAGTTTTTCCAGAACTTCATGTTGTTCTTGGAGACGTTCGACCCTCATCACAATTAATCAGCTTCATCTCAGATGCTCAGCTTGCATTTCTTTGATTTCCTTCTCCATTTCATTCACTTCTTCATGGAATTGATGAAGCTTTTCTTGACCATGGGCTGTCACTAAATGAGTTGATCTAATATTATTCTTTCTCTTGATATTCTTTAGCAAACGCGTCTTTCCCTTCTGAAACCACTCATGGTGGAATTCACATCTCACCCAACTAGCTTTCTTTAAACGGGGATTAAAAATGACACTAGTTATTTAATGGAGATCATTTCATCATTTCGTTATTTTCATTTACCTACGATGAGGTAAGGGTGTCGGATGTACGCAGTCTTACCCCTGTACTAAAGCAAATAGAGACTGTTTCCGTATGACCCATAGTGAAAATCGCGTCCAAAATTGTAGGATCTGACTACTGCTTCATAACAAAGAAGTGATTTAGTGAGTCATTTTGCTTTATTCCATCATATTCTCAAGACAAAAAATAATGAATCGTTGGCTCCATTGCAAATGATGGAAATACTCCCTCCGTCCCGAAAACAACTTCCCGGTTGGACTTTCACACACTTTTAGGAAATAAATTTGACTTTACTGTAGAATGCACTATTTTGCACTGTTTAAACACTGTTTGGCACTGTTTAAACACTGTTTGGCATTGTTTAAACACTGTTTGGCACTTTTTATCACTTTTTTGATGTAGATAATTTGCCAAATAAGGAAAGTATTGAAGTGTGAAGTTAATTTTGGGACATCCATTTAAGGAAAGTGGGAAGTTGTTTTCGGGACGGAGGGAGTAGTTATTTAATGGAGATATATATTTTAATTAATAACTAAGGGAGTGAGTCGAATTTCAGTTTTCGCGGAGCTTACATATGAGTTGAGCTGAGACATGATTCACATGAAGCTGGAAAATTTGTTGTGTTTGAATAACAAAGAAGAATTTCCTCGGCAAATTTATGAATATCCCAAATGATGAAGCCTTCCCCAGAAGAGTTCCAAGAAATGATTGTATCTGTCTCGAAATTCTCTACCATCTCACAAGTCTTTTGCACAGAGGCTGTAGCTGATCTTGACACCCTCAAATACCTTCGGTTCTGTGTATGCATATATCCAACTTTTTCAGCACATGATTTCTGCATGTCCCAATTTCTATTGTGTACAAATAGTGTAGTACTAGATACGGAGTACTTTGATACAATGATAGTGGAATGGATGTCTTAAAAAAGTAGAACAATTGAAGGATAAAAGTAAAGGACTAAAATGGAGGTAAATTGCATTAGTAGGTTAAGTTGGAGAAATTAAGTAGAAATTGCCCAGGAGTAAAACATTTTGTAATTTCAAAATAGAACTTTCATGTTTGTATTCCCTAAATAGCAGTAATTCATGTCATGTTTGAAAAAAACGATCATGTTTAAGATCTGATAATGCCGAACGTGGCAGAAATTACTCTTATTTAGGATATAAAAACGTCAGTCATATTTTGGAATTTTAAAACTTTTTTACTCCTATTTAGAAAATTTTCTCTGAATTAAGATAGTAATACACTTTAGTAGTAGTATACTAGTATTAGCAATAGTACTTCGATTACAACTACTACGGTGTTGTAGTACTTCTCTGAACAAGGAATTGTATGCAAAATTGGACTCTAAGGAAGGAGAAAAAGATATTTACAGACTTGCTGTCTTCGTGACCATAGGACTCAAGATATAGGAAAAGTTAAGTGTGTGAAGGATATCGATCAAAGAGTACTAATGGAGGACGGGGAGATAAAAGAGAGGCAGAGGTCTTACTTTGATACACTATTCAACGGGAACAAAGCGCTAGATATCAGTGATTTGACCATACCAGATTATATGGTAAATCGTGATTTTGTGAGAAGAATCCAAACAACGTAAGTTAAGGAGGCTCTAAGGAAGATGGGGCGGAAGAAAGCAGTGGGTCCAGATGGCATACCGATCGAGGCTTGGAGAAGTTTGGGAGAGAGAGGCGTCGAGTGGTTAACAAGTTTCTTCAACATGATTTGAAGAAACAACAAGATGCCAATGAGTTGGAGGAAGAGTACTCTTATCCCCTTATTCAAGAATAAAGGTGATGTACAAGAATGTGCCAACTATCGAGGGATTAAGCTTATGAGTCACATCATGAAACTTTGGGAGTGAGTGATTGAGCAAAGACTTCGAAGAACTGTGAAGATTTCAGAGAATCAATTTGGTTTTATGCCTGGTCGCTCAACAACTGAGGTCATTCATTTTCTTCGGCAGCTTATGGAGAAGTATAGTGACGCTCACAAGGATCTGCATTTGGTGTTCATTGACTTAGAAAAGGCTTATGATAGGGTACTTCGAGAAGTTCTTTGGTGGGCCTTAACTAGAAAAGGCATATCACACAAGTATATCAGCATCATCATGGATATGTATGAGGATTGTACTACAAGTGTTCGTACTAATGTAGGGAGGACTGCAGAGTTCCCTATTACTATCGGAGTGCACCAAAGATCGGCTCTGAGCCCTTTCTTATTTGTCATAGTCATGGATGGACTTACGTAGTCAATTCAAGACGAAATACCGTGGTGCATGATGTTTGCCGACGATATTGTATTGATTGATGAGACGCAATCAGGTCTTAAAGCAAAGTTTGAAGTATGTCGACAAACATTGGAGAACAAGAGTTTTAGACTAAGTCAAAACAAGACAGAGTACATGGAGTGTAAGTTTGGTAGAGGTAGAAGCAGTGGTAATAGTGGAATGACTCGAGATGGTAAGGAGATACTAGTCAGTGATATGTTCCGTTACTTGGGCTCCATAATTCAAAAGGACGGTGAGCTAGATGGAGATGTATCCGATATAATCAGAGCAGGGTGGATGAAGTGAAGGATTGCGTCATGATTTCTATGTGATAGAGGTATGCCGACCAAACTGAAGGGTAAATTTTATAGGACAACAATTAGGCCTGCATTGTTGTTTGGCGTGGAGTGTTAGGCGGTGAAACAATGTCACGTTCAAAAGATGAGTGTGACAGAGATGTGCATGCTGCGTTGGATGTGTGGGCATACTAGGAAGGACCACGTGAGAAATGAGACAGTCAGATAAAGGGTGGGAGTAGCACCTATTGAAGACAAGATGTGTGAGTCTTGCCTACGGTGGTTTGGTCATTTGCGTAGAAGACCGAATGATGCACCTGTCAGACATGTTGAGATGTGTGGAGAAGAGACAGGGAAGAGAGGGAGAGGAAGACCCAAATAGACGTGGATTAGGGTTGTCCGAAGTGATATTCTTCTTGGATTGGATGAGGGTGTGACTTTGGAGAGGGCAAAGTGAAGGGCGGATATTCGTGTGGAGGAGTAATCTCGTATTATTATTATTTCCCCTCATCTTTTTTTCTTCTTGTTTTTTATTCTTTTATCCTTATATATATAAATATTATTTTTATCCTTTTATTTTATCATTTTTAGATATATTCATCCCGTTTTATATTATCTTTTTTATAATAGCTTATTTTTTTTAGCTTTATTTTCTTTCTTTTCCTTTTTGTGGTGACATCATATATCGATTCATGTTAGCCGACCCTAATATCTTTTGGGACTAAGGCTTGAATATTGTTGTATCAAATTTTGTTCCAACGGCGCAGGTAAGTTGCATAAATAAATAGCATTATTTCCCTTTAATATCTTCTAGAAGAATGTAATCAGTAACTTTATTATCATAATTTACGCTACTCGTATGTAGTGTGCAATGGTGTTGATATATGCACATGATAATTATGTTATGTGTATTTGAACTACACATTTTATTCTTGTTAGATTGATGCTTTATAATCTTTTTTTGCTGCCCAGTTACATTTCAATTTTGATATTTCATTCATGAATGAAATTGATTTTAATTATTTTGAAAGTTCAATTCTTAAGTTTGAACTGTGATATTCTTCCTCCATCCCGTAATGAAGTTTCCGATTTGACCTGCACACATATTTATGTAAAATATAATTGTGTTTTGACTTTCCAAGTATGCCCCGCTTAATCTTAAAATAAGTAAAAGTGAGTAAAAAGTAAGATAATTGTGACTTTTTGGGTAAAAATGCTTTATAGAAATCGGAACATATTTTTGAGACATGCTAATTTTTTTCATCGGAGGTTCAAAACTTGAACTTGAACACTCCAAGACTGTAGAGAGTATCAAACTAAATCCGAGCTCTAAAAGTCTAAAACTTGGACCATAATTGGGACTTCGGGAATAGTTTTATGTGCCAAAGATGATGTTCCAATTTCCTTTTTCATCGGTTCTATTTGTATTGTACCATTCTTAAACTGGAATAATTTTTATAAGGGGAAATTCACTTTATATTCCCATTTTCGAGGTTATATGTTCAGTAAAGTGGTGTTATCATCAATTCAAAATTTTGTGAATGAATAAGGTGTCAATACTACTTCGTACTTCATACTCCCTCCGTCCCAGTATAAAAGACACATTTGCGTTTCCACACATTTTTAAGGTGAGCACTGTTTAAATACTGTTTGACACTGTTTGACACTGTTTTGTTTGTCAAAAAGGGAAATATGTTTTTTATATTGGGACGCCCGGAAAAGGAAAGTGTGCCTTTTATATTGGGACGGAAGGAGTATTTCTTTTGGAAAGAGCTCAAGGTCTAATTTTGTCTAAAATTTTGAGTCCAAAGTCAAACTTCTTTTATTGCCAAATTGCTATCTTATCCTTATTACTCCCTCCGTATCTATTTAGATGAACCATTTGCTTTTCACGGAGTTTAAGACGGTCACTGTAGACTTTATAAAAAGTAAGAGGTTTTTGGTACTGTAGCGACACTGTAGCAGTACTGTAGCTACTTTTTGAGTGGGACTCTTTCTAAAAAGAGAAAGAGGTCAACTAATTTGATACCCCAAAAAAGAAAAGTGTGTCAAGTAAATAGATACCGAGGGAGTATTATTAACCCTCAATGGGCTCACATTTGTTCTTTCCATTTTTTTTTAAATATAGTATCTCTCTGCCCCTCTCTTATAGCAGACACAGATTGATTGTCGGCATAGTCAAAATGTTGTTTGCGTTATCCTGATGTATTATAATGTGTTTTTTTCTGACCATTTTTATTTGATTGTCGACAACACTTTTCAATCATGAATTCTTTGATTGCCTCTCTTGTGATACTTATGATTGACATAGTATGCAATGTCCCGCTTCCCTTAAATTTATGGGGAAAATCTCGATCTTGCCATCCCACAATAGCTCCCCATTATCTGCTATTGTAGGTCTTCCGATCGCGACCAAGAACATGATTTCAGGAATGAAACGATAACTTGATCAACTCTATAGCGATTTGTTTCACCGGGGTGCATATAGACATCTTTTTGCTTAGTTAAGTTTGAACCATTTTTAATCTATATGCACATACTCATAGATATCATGGAATGTTGGGTTGGATAAATTGAATGCGGTAAAGGATTAAATGGAATTGCATTCTTAACCATTTGCATTTGTTTGTTAACAAAAGCTTGACTACATTTGAGTGTCTCTTTATTGTATTCCTCTTCATACACTTATGAACTGCGGATTTTGATGCATTCAATTCTACTACCAATGATCTAAAAGGCTCTCAACTTCCTTCACTCTGTCCATATCTTTAAACACAACATTTTTTGTTCCTTTGCCTTCCTTTCTCTCTCTTTCTCTATGTTGTATTGCAGGTGATGGGAGACTAAACTTGATTTTTTGCCACTGCTAAATGGAGTATAACGTTGCAACTCAGTAGAAGTGCAGATAAAAGGAATATTGTAAAGGAAGTGCAGTAAATGTATTAATTGTGACTTGTAAAGGAAGTTTTATGTTTCAAGATAGAATAGAAGTTTAAAATCCCTCCAAAAAGTTTAGCTTCACTCCTATTTTTGGATGTTTCCCTCTAGAATTCTTTTGGCTAAAGTTGATCTTTTGATTCTTTTCTTTGATGTGTTTAAATAAAACATCAACTTTGGCTAAATAAATGGAGACTGAGGAAGAATATAAAATAATTGCAATAAAACCCATATTTTTGTTGTATAAATGTTACCCATACTTTTGGAGATATTTATGTTCTGAACTTGTTATACAGTATTTTAGATATACGTGGACGATCCGAGTGAAAACGTAGTATGGATCTAGACTTTTAGTAATATTTCCTATTGAGTTTTATATTCGGGTTTTCATTCATGCTCAAATAATAACCATACAAACACATATAGCACAATCTAGTGTTTTAGAAATACAACTGGCATACTCGGTATAGCGGGTGCATACAATATTTCATATTCCAACTTCCCTTTCATTTGACCAGGTTACACACAGACTGACACAGTCCGTCAAACAAACACAGAAAAATGTTCCATACATCCACTATAGAACGGTTTAGTTGAATGTGCAATCAAAACAATAATTGAGAAAACCAAGGGAAAGGAGAGCCCTGGACAGCTGGACTGCATGTCTGCATGATCACGTCTTCATTGCAGGTCTCACTAAACCCAACCCCGACCCACTTCCCAAATGCTTGAAGTTTCTTGCTTCCAAATGATCCCCATGGCCCGAAAACCCGGTCCCTCCTTTTTCCAGGTCTACCAGATTCCTGTCTTTGCATGGCCTGTCGCAGACCACACAGACCTTGTCTACAGCAACAAACTTCCCCGCACATTTCTTGCAGAAAACATGCCCGCATGTATTAAGGGCAACAAGGGAAAGGGTGTTTGTCAGGGTGACCTTGCAGCTGGGACATATGTATGTTTTATCAATACTCTTGATCTTCTTCTTTCCGCTCTCATCTTCTGTGAAGTGTATGGGGAATAGGTTCTTCATCTTGATCTTTTCATTCCCTTCCGGGCAAAGAGTGTTTCCAGAAGGGGCATCGACTTTGGAGGGTGCCTCTGGTGTGGCAGATGGAAGCCAAAAGGCTTTCATGGTCCGGAGTGCTTCCTCTTCAAAGGCAGTTGCTTTCACACTGTTGGCTCCATGGAACCCACCACTTTTGTCTGTGATGGAGAGGTTTTTGTCACTGTAGTCGTGGGGTAATGCTCCATGGTTTTGTTGATCGAAGGCATCAATTTCCCGGGCCTTCCGCAGCATCAAGAGCTCATCTTCATCTTCCTTCTCTTGCTTCATCTGGGCAGCATGTGCAGCTAACTTTCTACAATATCATGTAACTGTAAATTTATGTCCGTCATCATTACACTACTTCCAGTTTCAATATGTCCTAAGCTCATAATCCCCAAATTTATGAGTCGTGGTGATGTAATGTTGCAATCAATTAATTTTTCAACAGTTGTTTACTTGTTTCTAGTGGGATATTTCTATAACAAACTATCTAAAGTTTGCCCTGTGATTCTTCATGAAAATAAATAAATTAAGAGGTAAAAGCAAAACCTGATGGTGTCAGTTTTAGAACTTCACAGCATTATATCTTCTTTAGGTTTCAGAAGCTAAGCGTTGGAATGTCCCTACTCGGTAACACCTTAATTCTAGACAACCATGTATAGTCACTCCTAACTTCTGGTCCATATAAAAAGTGTTATCAGTGGTACTGTGGTAGGGACATTTGAATGCTTAGCTTCTAAAATCTAGAGAGAATAAGAGATAGTGATCCGTGGGTAACCATGTTTTTTCTTATGGGCCAGTAATTTTCCAAACATTAGTTTTTTCTTGTTCCACACGCTAAAGTGGTCAACAATGAAAAATGGTTGGAAGTATTTTTTTGGCTGAAGATATAATTTTATTCCCCCCATACAATCTATGTAAAAGACATGAAGGGGCAAAGTGAATTGTCCACTTGCATTGCTGGTCTGGTAAAACATAGGGCATAATGTACAAATAGTGACACTTCAGCATTGAAGTCATCAGGTATGGTTCATAAGGTTAGTCCAAGTGGTCACACTCAATATATATAGCTTTTGCACTATCAGCTAGTGGGAACCTAGAAGATCAAATTTTCAGATTGAAGATTTCAGTCCATTCATTCTGCCTGCATCTACTGAAATTGAAAAAAATACCTTTTTAACTTATTCTCGAATTTAAGAATTTCATCCCAATCCATGTAGAACTATAGTGGCAAACGATGATACAATTAGCAGCAGATATAAAACTTGAAGCAAAAGAAAGATCAAAAGTTCAAATTTCCAATATAATGTGCAACGGTTTGTACCTTTGGATATCTTTCTTCTGTGATAAGAGGCATTCCAGAATGCACTCCTTGCAAAAGACGTGACCCTTCTGGCAACACAACGGGTCGATGAAAGGCTTCAGGCAAAGACAACAGGCGTCGAAGGGCTTGATAGAATCCTTCCCAAGCCGCTCCTTTTGCGTTCCATATCCGAGCTTCCGCTTCTCGTCGTAGGTGAAGAAGGCGAGATCGTTATTGTTCTTCGAGTGTCTTTGAGGCATCTTTCAATAACGTTGTAATCGAGCTAGCGAGATAATTCGGACCAATTCCGCTTGAAGTTAAGAGGATTTGAAAGAAAGAGCTGCCCTGCCGTGTTAATCAAACTATCGGTTCCAAGAAAACCCTAGGAATTGGGATTTATTGTCAGATTTGGATTTAGCCGAACAGTGCAAAATATGCAAGAAACTACGGTTCTAAACTTCTTCTATGATTAGTAGGGGTGGGTTCGGTTCTTTCGGTTCTGTTTTGACCTAAAATTAAATACGGAATCAAAATAAAAGTTCGGTTCGATTTCGGTTCAGTTTTACACTCCAGAACTCGAAACCACGGTTTGATTGATTCAGTTTGTTTCGGTTCGATTTCAGTTCTTTCGGTTTTTACTAAAAATTTGTCATTTGATTTAAAATTGACATAGTACATAAAAATGCAAACATACTAGAATAAATAAAGTAAAAATAAGAATAAATAAATATGCCTTGAATTATATGAGTATGTGAGAGAGATATAAGTGTATACATAGCATATTCTTAATTTACATTGTTTGTGACTAGTTTGAAAAAAGTTCATGAATACATACATCCTATATGATATAGCTGAGATGAATATTTATTTGTTTTATCAATATAAAAATGTAAGTTACATAAAAATAAAATTTAATTACTAATAATAACCAGTAAAAACAATAATAATGCAACAGATTACAACACATATACATACATAAAAGATATAATCGATCAATATAGCTACATTATTATGAGCAATGAATGTGTAAATGCATTTATAAACTAAACATAACACAAACATTATTTCTCTAGCACAAGAAAATCAAAGATTATTGATGATATTAAGATTAATGCTTAAAAATTAACAAATAAAATTTCATATTTTAATTAGTTCAGTTTGTTCGGTTCGGTTCGGTTTTGAAGGGTTAAAACCAAAACCAAACCAAACAACTATGGTTCGGTTCGGTTTTTTACATTCGGTTTCGGTTTTTAGCGGTTCGGTTTAATTTGGTCGCAATTCGATTTAATTTGATTCGGTTTTCGGTTTTCAGTTTTTCGGACCCAGCCCTAGTGATTAGTTGAGAGTTGTGACGACTGACGAATACGGACTACAGAGTACTCAAGAGTGTTTAGGCTTTCAGACAATTAAAAAAAACGTTTCCCAGCTTTTGACTTTTTTTTGAACAAAACTGACTTAACTTATCATTACCAAACAAACCACGCAAAACCAACTAAAATAGGTAACCGTGTGACAACAAGTCTCCTGTCTACCGTCCGCCCAAGGACTAGACTCTGAATTAATCACCTCCATAGAAGTCATATAATTCGCTGATCCCGCTTTGGGCTTACATGAGCCTATGACTTGTAGACACGACACATCAGCTCCTATGTTAGTTTCATAAGTATCTTTGCTGGAAAAACACAGCACAACCCAAACAAAAGCAACATCCAAAACGTGGAAAACAAACAAAACAAAATAACAAGAGTAAATAAGTCTTTTGGCTAAAAAAGCCGTAACCAGCATCAGATCTTCTGGCGGGGCTGGGGGCCAGCACCCTCCCCCTCCCCATTTTGTGGAGAGTCCAACGTCATAGCATTCTTTTCAGCGTCCTCCATCGTCTGGTCCTCTCCCACGTGAGCCATCTCTTCAGCTCTCCTGTCATTCCTTCCTCGTCTAGCTCACCTGATAACACAACCTTCCCCCCACCCGTCTTAGTATTCTCCCTCGTCTCATCCGAAACCACCTCCTGTTCTGGCCTCATCATACGTGTCATATGCGACTCCCCGCCAGAAGAGCTTCCTTCCGTTATCAGCCATTTGTTGCCCAAGTTTGACTTCGCCTTCCTTCCACTTGCTCTAAGCCACGACCCAAAAGGTCTGGTCATAGCTTGACCCTCCTTTTCATACAGCAGGGGACATAATTTCTCTGCATGTCCAATCATACCACAGCAGAAACAGAAACTTGGCAACTTTTCATACCTAAAATCTACCCAATACCCTTCACCTTTGTTCTTCCTTAAAGTGGTTCCAATTTTTAAAGCCTTAGTAGTATTCATTCGAACTCTCACTCGCATGTAAGCCTCCTTTTTGTTGCTAGCTTTTTGTTCATCCCAACTGACAAACTCCCCCAAATAATTCCCTATTCTCTTTGCCGTACCCAAAATTTCAAAACTATACGGCATGTTATGAACCTGAACCCAAATTTCAAATTTATCTAGCACCATATTAACTGGAATATCACCCGGTCTAACAGCTTTTAGCACAATCAGACTTTGATCAAACAGCCATGGTCCATTTTCCAGGACCCGATTCACATCAATAGAGTGAAAAAACTTAAAGAGATACCTCCGTTCGCCAATCTCTTGTATGGTCATTCCTTTAACCGGGCGCAATCGATCCGCCATGAAGCCCCGGAAGAACGGAAAACGGATAACTTTATCCGTGAGAATCGTCCCAACCACCGGAAAATCCTTTGCCTTCACTGCCCCTACTGCCGAGTCCTCTTCCTCATCATCTTCAATGAGCAGTTCGTCCTCCATACCCCCAATTCCCAAGCCTCTGTATTTAGCAACAATCTCATCAACTCTTTCAGCCTTCTGGTCGCGACCCTCCCTGCCCGCCTCTTCATCGATGTCCTCCATCACGTCTCTAGCACTCTGCTCCGATTCTCGATCGGCCTTCGTCGCGATTGCTTTGCCCTCGATCGGCGCCGCACGCAGAACGGCGAAAAAAGCCCCTCAACTCTCGCTAGGGTTCCCAGCTTTAGACTTAAAAAGGTGTTTTCAGGCGATAACTTTTACTTAAATTAATACCTGAAAGCTAAAAGCTAGAATGTGCTTTTTACTCTCCTATTACACAAAAAAAAAAATATTTTACCAAATACTACCAACTTTTACTTTTCAAAATCATTTTTTATCAAACACTACCAACTTTTACCATTAATCACTTTTTCTTAAATCACTTTAAAAAATTCAAAAGTGATTGTGGGTAGTGTTTGCAAACAAACCCTCAGTGTTTTTGTCCAAGGGGTGTTTGGATCCGATTCTTAAAACTCCTTCTGCTCCTTCTGGGAGAGGAAACAGAAGTTGGAGTGTTTGGGTGAAAATGTAGAAGTGATTCTGGTGCTTCAATTTACTCCTAGAATCGGTTTTTTTAGAAGCTGAGGGAGACCAGCTTCTGAAAACTGATTCCGATTCTGCTTCTACTTTAAAAAAGAAGCAGAAGGATAAGCAGAATCAGTTCTAAACCCCCCTAACTTTTCTCAGTTCGTATACCATGCAACCGTCCCACGGTGCGCATGGTATACCTGGGAGAGTGAAGAAGCAGTTGGTATATTTTGGCTTTGTTATTTTTTATTTCTCCTTTTTTTAAAAACGTTAATAATTTTTTTATTTTTGATCCGATTTTTATAAAATTTATATCAAAATTTTTTATTTTTCATGATCTTTCAAATGAGACCAATATTGCCTATATATGTAATTTTAATATATTAACATTTGCGTGTAAAAATATGTAAATTTACGTGTTAAAATATGTAACTCACGTTCAGTCAGGCCAAATGCAACTCGTGTGTATAAATATGTAACTCTACGTGTAAAAATATGTAACTTTACTTAAAAAAATATGTAACTCTCGTTCAGACAGGTCAAATGCAACTCGTGTGTGTAAATATGTAACTCGCGTGTATAAATATGTAACTTTACGTGTAAAAATATGTAACTTTTCGTGTAAATATATGTAACTCGCGTTCAGGCAAGTCAAATGCAACTCGTGTGTATATATATGTAACTCGCGTGTATAAATATGTAACTTTACGTGTAAAAATATGTAACTTCACATATAAAAATATGTAACTCACATGTATAAATACCTAATACAATAAATTTTTTATATACACAATTTTAAGATAAAATGTGATTTACACAATTATTTTTCTGTATTAAATTTAGTTTGGTTTTCTTTATAATCCAATACACATTAATATAATAGTTTGATAATTTCTTAAAATTACATAAGCAATATTGGTCTCATTTGAAAGATCATGAAAAATAAAAAATGTTGATATAAATTTTATAAAAATCGGATAAAAAATAAAAAAGTTATTACCATTTTTTACAAACAAAGGATAAAAATAAAGAAACAGTCCTCATCAATACTCCGTCGTTTTGCAACCGGGCGCACCATGCTCATGGTGCGCCGGTTGCACGATATAATTTGCGAACTTTTTTCAAGTTTATACTCCGAAAACTTTTGATAAATTGATTTTTTATTATGAATTTATTTTGAATATGAAACTTATATTGATCTATCATAAAAAATGAATGATAATGATGATATCATAATACTCCCATTTGGCTGGGTCGCCTTAAATATGTTTGGTTTCTTCGATAATTCGGTAAATACATTGTTTTTTTTGTTCAAAGACATAATACAAGCCCTTCTTTTATTTACTTATATTATCATGCCTTTTCAATTTCTTTAGAAAAAAAAGGATGACACCCATCCCTGAGGGGCCCCCAACACCGACCGGACGGCATGATGGGAGGATGTAAATTTGACTACAATCACAATCTGACATATAGAGAGTGAGACTTTGTCTCCGGTACTTGCAGTGGGATAATTTATACTACATCTGCTTTTCTTGAAGAGGGATAACAAAATTGTACAAAGTGTACAAAGGATGATTATTATTGTTAAGATTCGGGGTTGCATACTAAAAGGTCAACCTGTTAGGAGGAGTAGCCTATGTCTTAATATAGCATTTTATTCTTTCACATATTTCTGGTGTGGGAATTTAACACCCCTCCTCACGACCAGACATTTCGTCTAGATCGTGCCGTCATTCATTTTTTCGTCGGTTCGTCATTATCATTTTTTTAATAATCGTGTCGTCAATTTTTCATAAGGGGTCCACACCACGGATCGATTTGTCTCTGATATTATGTTAAGATCCGGGGTTCCATACTAAAAGTTCAACCTTGCTCGCAATACTCACGGCCATAACGAGAAACCCCTTAAAGGTCCTCTCAAGTCAGCATGTTACTTTTAAGTTTTAACGTGTATATATGCTGATTGTCATGCACCTCAAAGTCACGGCCATAACGAGAAACCCCTTAAAGGTCCTCTCAAGCCAGCATGTTACTTTTAAGTTTTAACGTGTATATATGTTGACTGTCATGCACCTGAAAGTTTCATGCTATGCTCCCCTGCTTCTTAATTACACGGAGATGATTGTTGTGCATCCAGATGCTTACTTTGTTGAAGACATTGCTAGAAAGCTAAAAGAGGTGCGCAGACTTTCTTAACTTGTTTATTCACTTCAAAGCATTTTGACTTTTGAAAGCACCTCATACTGACTGTTTATATTGCTTTCTTAATTCTGGCAAACTGCTGATATTACTTTCTTTCTAATAATAACTCCCTCCATTTCTATATATTGTTAGGGTTAGAATCTCTAGCGCTCACACACACAAGTCTAAAAAAATGATAGAGAACAGAGAGATCAAGGAGCGGGAACGGGCTTGGGGCCACCTCCGGGGCCTGGTTGTGGCACTTGTGGGCTAGGATGATAGTTTTATTTATTATTATAAAATTTATGTTATGTTTTCTAGTTTGGGCCAATTATTAGTAGAGTATTTAGTAGAGTTAGTATGGGCTTAATTAGGATTTAATTAATTTGGGCATGATTAGGGTTTCTCTTAAAAGACTATTTATACCCCTTGACAAGGTTCATTCTTGCTTATCTATGAATAAAATTGGAGTTTAGCCTTTTGGCTTTGGCAACGATTTTTATCGTTGATTATCTGCGCAACGATTTATTCCGTTGATTTTTATTTTTCTACTCTCAACAATTGGTCCGGCCTACCAGATCTCGTCCCGTCAGGATGACGAGAACTCAGAACAACCGCTTGACAGAGATGGTGGCCGAGCAAACTGAGATGAATCAAACCCTAGAGGAGCATGACATGCGTCTAGCAGAGATCGCCGCATCCCTGGCAGTGTTTACCAAGGCGCTCATTCCGCCAGTCATGACGAAAACAAGCCCGGACGCGGTTGGCGTCCCCACCGTATCTACGCATAGCAGCGACAAACAGTCGCGCATCGTCACTTCCTCCTTGGATGTGCTCACAAAGGCTCTCGCGCCGCCAACGGCGGAGGAGCATTCAACGGCGGTGGTTTCACTGAACGCAGCAGCAACACCTTTCGGAATTGAACTGTGCAGCACCTTTCTGAGAAGAACCGATCAACTGGTTGATAGGGCTGAGCAACGATTCGAATTGAACTATACTCCGTCAAGAGAGAAGGTGGCAACCGTTGTAGTTGCGATGGAAGGGCCATCCCTATATTGGTTGACCTGGTTATGGGCACGAAAGTCGGGCATGTCATGGGATGAGCTAGCTTACACAGGCATTGGTCGCTCGTTTTAACTCACGGTTTAAGGGCAATTGCTTTGAACGGCTGCCCAGAGGCAAGCTGACATGGACTGTGGAGGAGTACATCTCAATTTTTCCTAAAGATACTGGGCAGCCCCTGGGGACACATGTGAGCTGGTTTTCAACCTTGAGGTCAAGGTTGTTTCGAAGGAGGGTGGATTGATAGAGAGCAGAGAGATCAAGGGGCAGGAAAGGGCTTGGGCCCACCTCCATGGGTTGGAGTCAAATTCCCCCAAAGAATTTTGCTTCATGTACACACTGGCTTACACACTCAAGGGTAATTGTCATGCACAAACAATTACGTTTGAGTTTAGTAAAGGGAAGTGTCTGTGATCTTGAATTGTTTGTGCACAGACAATTCATTTTTTCGAGTCACCAACGCTTCGCTTTACTAAACCCAAGCGTAATTGTTTGTGCACAAACAATTACATTTGGGTGTGTATGCCGGTGTGTACACAAATCAAAACTCAAATTTAAATTAGAAAAGTTGTGTGTTGAAAATTTGTCTAGTGGAGAAATAAATGAGCAAAATCACAAATTATTTACTTTAATAGAAAATGAAAAAGTTGTCTCCCTTCTTTTAAGGTTTTCTTCTCCCGCCGCCTTTGGCCGTCGCTGAGGGATGGTGCGGGTTTGGTTGATTTTCTAGTGTGCATTGGGGCTGATTCAGCAGGGCTCTATGATTGATTGTCCTTTTCTTTTGAGGTTGTGGTTTGAATCGTTGACTTCGATGATTCAAACCGCGTTTGTGTTCGAGCCGGCGGTGTTGAATGCGTCGATGGATGCAGTTGCTGTGCGGATGGACATGGGATGTGTGGTTGATATCGCCCTCTATTTTGATGGTTTTCGAATAGGATTGGCGGTGTTTGAGGAGGTTCAATCGAGACAAGGTTCAACCTCTCAAGATTTGGGCGTCCTAGGTTGCCGACTTCATCAGATGGAGTGCCGATGTTGGGATTCTTATCGGCTATCTTGTAGGAGGCGACAACTCTATCATATGGGGGGTAAAAAGAATATATTGGAAATTATGGTAGTGAATCGGAAGGAGATCTTTCAAGATGCAGTGTTGAAGATGAAGGAGAAGGATGAAGTGTCGACGGTCTGTCCCCCTCCGAAACCACCGCCAAAAACGATGGGCGGACCGGTGAAGGTGTTCGTGCGAATGGAGAGGAACGTTTATTTTACTGCTTTTATTTTTGTTGTTTTATTTAATCAGACTGTTTTCTGCTTTGTTTTTGTTATTTTTAATTGTAAGACTCTTGCATTAAGTTAGGGTGAGATTAGATCTACTTCAATAGTCTGTGGCGCGGGTTTGCCCATTAATGGATCAACGAGTTATATTGCTTGTTTGAAGGTGATTAACTCCAAGTCTGGTTCGAGGGCTGACGGTTGTCTGTGGTCTTCTACTCAGTTTACTCCCTTTCTGAATGCTAATGCTTTGATTTTAAAAAAAATGACAAAGTTGCAAAATCCAATGGAAGGAAGGGAGTATTACTGAGTACTATGTACTTGATAGAGTATTGGGATAATTCTTTAAGTAGGAGTTAATTGAAGCTTAAGTTGTGTAAATAGGAGTATAATTTTAAAAGTCTTTTAACAAGAGTAATGATGATGTTTTTACTTGGACTGTTTTCAGTCTCAGATCAAATCAAATCAAATCAAATTAGACTCAAATAGTTTTTAAATACACAGAGACCAGACATTTACCAGACCAGATCAAACAAGACCAAATCAGAAAATTTCGGTCCAAGTAAAAAAAATCTTTATTTATGATTGGACAAAAATGCCCATGAAGGTGTTGGAGCTTGTCCGCTGGACTACCGGTTTACAGACCCTCCTCGTCAGTCACCTGAACCTCGCCACCGTGAGACTGTTGTTGGATTGCCGTTGTTGAAATGGATTAAGATCCTCTGCGATAAGGCAGAGTACCTTACGAAAATAGAAGGCAGAGATTAAAAGTCAGCTCTCGAGATTTGTTCCAAAAATGGACCTACTCATTTTATGCCATTTATTTTTGGGATTCTATGGTGCCCAAAAGGTACCATACTTTTGTCTACTTGGACCAATCAGAATGTTGGAGTTGAATTATTTAAATCTAAATTAAAAATGATATAATGATTTGGACCAATCATGTGAGTGGTAGGTATGGTACCCCTTTTTCTAAATGGGTACCAGAGTTGTCACCTTTATTTTTTGATCTAATGGTTCAAATTGGCCAGGCACCCTCCTTGCCTACCTAAGCAAGGCAGAGGAGCTGGATCTTGTTCAAATGTCGTTGGAGTGCGGCTGCCGGGAAACTAGGTGCCAATTAATTATAGGAAAATTGAAAATAAAAATCCCAACTATTGCCGGTCCGCTGATAATAATCCCAACTATTGATTATTTTTGTATAATCCCAACTATATGGACCGTCCGCCAATAATGGTCCATGACCAGATATTACTTCATAAGAAAGTGAATTTTAAATAGAAATTAAGTGTAAAAATTAAAAATTGAGATTATTTATAGGGATTACTTGTTATATCTCTCCTCATCCACTTTAGAAACTACATGAATTTATTTATAGGGACCATTATTGGCGGAAGATCACAAAAGTTGGGATTATTCTGAAATAATCGATAATTGGGATTATTATAAGCGGGCCGCCAATAGTTGGGATTATTAGTATCAATTTTTCCTTAATTATATTAAGGGTATTTAAGGTATTAAGCCAAAATTTAATCATGCTTAGAGAACAAATTATATATACTCCTCTTTGGGATTTAAGCAACATTTTATTCCGGCAATATCTCTGTGATAATTTTATATATCCACAATCTCTATAGAATTTGAAGCAAAATTTACACTTTTTCTATGGATGTTGCAAAAACACCCGCCATTTTAGGATAACCCTCAATCCCTTCCTCCTTTGAACTGGTCATTGATGATTTGATTCTTAGAGCCACCCAACACTATTCCATATGATCCACCATTAACAGCTTCTCTGGTTCAGAAACAAAGAGGCCAGAGAGAACAAAGGGAGAATAAACAAGACATCCCAAAATCACCCTTAGCTTTAATTTCTCTCCCCATTTGTTTCTCAATGAACATGAACACCACAAAAGCCTCTGTTTCCAAAGAACTCAACGCCAAACACACAAAGATCTTAGAGGGGCTCCTCAAACTCCCCGAAAACAGAGAATGCGCCGATTGCCGGAGCAGGGCGCCGAGGTGGGCCAGCATCAACCTCGGAATCTTCATATGCATGCAATGCTCCGGCATCCACCGGAGCCTGGGAGTGCACATCTCCAAGGTGAGGTCCACCACACTGGATACGTGGCTCCCCGAACAAGTCGCTTTCATGCAATGCATGGGAAACGAGAAGGCTAACAGCTATTGGGAAGCACTTCTGCCGGGAGAAACAGAGGATAGAACCGACATAGAAAGCTTCATTCGAGCCAAGTACGAGGATAAAAAATGGGTTTCAGGAGATTATAATGTTGTCATTCCCCAAACTGCCCATCATATTTTGGGTGAAAGAAGCCCATCATCAGACTGTAGAGAAGATGGTGGTGGGGGTAGAATTGGAATCCCGAGAAAAGCGAGGAAGTATTCCCTGGAGGAGGATATTTTTGACCCAAACAAGGCACAAGCTTCTTCTTCTACGACAACAACAACGAGACCTCGCTGGGCTTCTGTAGACATGACGACGGACAACATAAGCGTTGTTGAACCTCCGGCGAATGATAACGGCGGCGGTGACCGGCAACCGGCGAGAAAGAGTGAGACGGCGAAGGATCTTTTCAGTTTGCTCTATGCCCCAGAGGTTAAACAAGACCGGGTAGTTGTTCCTCCATCTAGGTGGGCTACATTTGACTGAGGTGCTTTAATATAGCTGCGCTCGTTAAAAGAAGGAACTTTGGGAGTTGTGCTCTTGTATTAGAACTTAATGGTGAAATTTAAAATCTCCAAGAAACAAATTTTATTGACCAATTTTAGGGATATTTATAGATATTTTAACTTTTGATTATGCCCGTTATAAATGGTAACTTTTTCAGGTTGTAAGTAATAAATTTTTCATCGTAAAGTGTATTTTCTGACGAAAAAGATCAGAACAATCATTGCCCGTGAACTTTCCCGAAATAGGACTAAAAAAGTGTGAAAATTCCAAAATAGAATTGTCATGTTTTTCTTCCCAAAATAGGATTAATTACTGCTAAGTTTGGAAAATACTGTCATGTTTGAAGTCTGATACTGTCAAAATATGACAGTAATTAGTCCTATTTTGAGAATAAAAACATGACAGTCCTATTTTAGAATTTTCAAACTCTTTTGGTCCTATTTCGGGTAATATCTCAACTTTATATCAAGATAGCACATTCCGTTCAAAAATTCCTTGATATGAACAACAGGACAAGATCTACAAGCTAGGTGAATAAAGTTATGTACTCAGTAACTAATACTACCTCTGTCCTACTAACATTAAGATATGAACATGTGACAAAATTATTAAGTAAGAATAAAGTAAGAATGATTAGAGCTACAGAAATTTTATCAGTTTTAGTATGATATATTCTTAATAGGATGGACCGGAAAAAAAAAAGATATGTACATAAGTTATGTTCTCCGAGTTTTATTATTAGTTTAAATTTGTTTCTTCTTTTTTCCCACAAATGAATAATAAACATTTCAAGAATGACTTAGGATGTTTTCTTTTGGACTGAAATTTGCTGGTCTGGTCTGGTCTGGTCTGTTTAAGTCTGGTCTGGTCTGGTCTGTTTAAGTCTGGTCTGGTCTGGTTGGTCTGAACTGGTCTGGTCTGGTCTGGTAAACGTCTGGTCTCTTTGTATTTTATAACTACGGAAGTCTGGTCTAGTCTGGTCTGGTCTGTTTAAGTTTAGTCTGGTCTGGTTTGGTCTGTTTAACTCTGGTCTGGTCTGGTCTGTTTAAGTCTGGTCTGGTCTGGTCTGAGACTGAAAACAGTCCAAAAGAAAACATCCTTATATTGTGGGACATAAACGTGCACCGTCAATCCTTTCTTCTTTCACTTTTTTCTTTAAACAATATTGTTATATGAGAATACCTTTTTAATATTGAAAAGGTGTTCCCATCTTTTCAATATTAAGAAGAAACAAATCGGAGTGATTTTTTCTAAAAAGAAGAAACAAATTTAAACTAATAATACAACTTTGACCGATGCTGTCTGAATAATGAACTTAATTATCCGAGTGATTTTTTGATTTTTTCTAAAACGAAGGCCATATCCAAGACAATCAACTATCAAGGATAACGTCGTTGGCCGTCGGGTATAAAACTACTTTTGTCTTTATACTTGCTCTCGGTTCTCACCTTTTATTTGTCTTTTTTCAATAAGAAATTAATAATGAATATAATACATCGGTTATTTTAGAACGACATACACCTGATTATTATATTGTCAATCGGTTGAACAATGGTCTCACTATTGAAAATGTTATATATCATATAAGGACGATGCTAATGAACTAAGTTGCTAATGAACTAATTTGCTTGATGATCAATTAAAAGCACACCAATAATTACGTAGTACTTAGTATTAAACAAAAATACGTGACCAATAATATTTAACGCTTGCTATCAATAGTATTACGAGTTTTCATTTATTCAAACGATTCAATATTATTTTTAGAAACTTGATAAATATTCGTTCCTTCTTTTTAATAGGAAGTGCACATAATGGTTAGTCTTAATAAAATATATTTTTCTAACGTTTCATGCAATGTTGACTATTTCACCAAAAAATTTGTATGACTTTTGAAAATATAATAGAGAATTGTGTTAATCAATTTAAAGCGTTGTCTAGAGATATTATTTTCGGTGGCGAAGTGTCGCTCGCCAGATCTATATTCCCCACCATCATCGGTCGGGTGTTCTTGTGTGCTAGTAAGAGATTTATATTGGCTTCTTTATCAATCATGAATCATGATTTCTTCTTCATCGATATAGAGGTCGATCGCCCACCTCCTGAACCACCGCCGATCCAAGAAGATGACATTGGATGGATTGCTTTCTTTCCGGTGGCTAGTCAAACCGGAAAAATTTCTGAACTTGACTCCTTACCGATGGCCGGAAAAACCGGTAAGTTCAATAATTCCTTTTCAATGACTGGTCAAGCCGAACCCATTTCGAGTAACATTAGCAGACACAATACGGTACGAGTCTACATTGTTGCAGGGTTAGCGAACATGAGTGCTTTTATATGACGTTTTTGTTCTTTGTCTCACCCTAGTGTAGTATTGAACTCTATGATTGTAATGCTTCGGCTTTTAGTTGTTATGTTCCTTGTTAAGATCTGATTATCAATAAAATGGTTATTTGATTTTCAAAAAAATATATTTTAGAAAATGGAAATGATACCTCTAATACAGACACGCATTAAATAGTCATTACTTGTTTTCCATATACCCGATGAGCATCGATTAAAAATGAGAAAAGGGTTCAATAAGACCTTCTACTATTATGAAATGTCACATAAGGTCATGTACTCAATAAAGTGTCATATAAATGCGTCTATTAGTAGAAAACAATCAAGTAAAGTCCTAACGACCTATTTATTACAACCTCCTAATCCCGATTTTAGTGTTCTTGAAACCATCTTTTTATAATAGATTATACGGCACATGTTGAATATTTACCTAAGATTGGTTGAAATACAAGCCAAAAAATTGACACGAAAGTTAAAATCAGGTTTAAGAGGTTATCAACGGGTCATTAGGACTCATCCGATTATTTTTTATAATTAGATGTATTTATATGACACTTTATTGAGTACATGACCTTATGTGACGATTTCATAACAATAGAAGACATTATTTGATGTTTTTCTCATTAAAAATCCATAAATAACTATGCTCGCTTGAATAAATTTTAGATTTTAGACATAAATGTCAACTCTTAAATGTGAGAGATTGTAGGGGTTATTGTTGTACTCGAGTCACTCGACACATAGATCAATCCAAGCGCGGAGTATAGCTTCTAAAGTGGAAGTTGAATCGTTGATGCATGTCTGGAGGGTACTCAAGTTGCAGCAGAAATAATCCACATGTTGATCATTCTGGAATCAAATCATGCTCAGGAGATACAGAGTCTCTCGACATAAATAAATCGAGTGCCATAAATTAAATCTAATTTTTAATAATAAAAAATAGACTTGCTTAAGAGAACCTAGGTTTATGCGTGAAATACTGTTTTCAAATACATAAAGTAAATCTAGATTAATGTAATAAATGTTGTTTGAGTGAATCCACTCTAACCCATTATATGTTATATGAGAACTTAACCTTCAAAACCTCCTACCTTGAAGCTAAGGTTTTTCAAATTTATGTTACTAGTATGTGTACCTGACACCCGTGTACCGCACGATAGAATATGTGGGTAAAGTTTTTTTTTTTGTGCACGATAGAATATGTGGGTAAAGTTTTTTTTAATCACAGGACTGTGAATTGTATGTGAATTCATAAATTAGTGTTTGCTAGCCAATTTCAACTCATTTCATGATGGGATGGAGTTATCATGTCTTATCCCGATGAACTCATAATTCATCGGCTTCGAGGGTCAACCTGCACGGATTGTAGGTTAAGTGGGTTGGCACATGCATATTGTGAGTTATCCATAATACAAATATCTACTAGTATATTTGAGTTTCATTGTCTTTAATATTCATTCTTTACCACCTGTTGAGGTTAACTCCTCGCGGTCCAAAAAACCAACACAGTCCTTTGGCTTTCGTAGGATCTTTTACTAATTATGAACGTAATATGAAGGCAATAGCAAGAAAGGATGAGGGGAAAAGTGAGTCAAGTTCTATTACAGACCTATCGAGCCGAATCCCGACCCCCTTGTTTTACACTGCGTTATTACAGAAGAGCAAGATAGAAGTCTAAACTACAGTGTGCAAGCTTGTCAACTCTTTACAATGAAATAAATGCGAGTATTTATACTACAATGTAGTAGGCGAAGGTGTTGATGTGTCGAGCCTCATTGGATAGCCTCCAACCATAAATTAAAATTCTCCACATCTAGTGCAATAAATGCGTTTCCCGCCAAATCTAGCCTTCCCGCCGACTGCTTTGGGGAGCTCTCCCACATACAACCACCACTATCCAAGAAAACATCAAGTATCAGAATATCACCGACCAACAGATCTTGTGCGGAAATTGGGCCCGCGTGCTAGTTGGACCGCCTAGGGGTATTTGTGCTCGACCCAATACCGCAACACTACCACAATCATTTTCAAATGTACTTATTATTTAACAACCTTTTTTGAACTATTATTTCTATAATAATTATTCAACTAAGTTACTCCAGCATATTTTTATGTTATAGTTGAAAATAAATATTTAATAATTAATAATCATTGTTCACAAATATTTACTCAAAAGATCTTATCGTACAATTGACGTCTGCTTTGTGGATCTCTCTCAAATACAACCAGCACTATCCGAGAAAACAACAAGTATCATAATATTACCAACCGGCGGATCCCGTGCGGAAATTGGACCCGCGTGCTATTTGGGCCGCCTGGGGGTATTTGGGCCTGGACCCAATACCCCAACATTATCAAAATTATATTCAAATATTTTATTATTTTACAACCTTTTTTGAACAATTGTTTCTATAATAATTATTCAAATAAGTTACTCCCGCATATTTTTATGTTATAGTTGATTTTTTTAATAATTAATAACCATTGTTCACAAATATTGACTCAAAAGATCTAAATGTATCTTTACTTTTGTACAATAATTTGCTATTTCTAGATACCGTTTAGTAGTTATCAAATTTAATATAAAAATGATTTAATAATATTTTTAATTAAACTTATCAAGTATTTTTAATTAAAACAACACATGACAATAGATGAGACTATATGTATATATATGATAATATAATAATCAAATACATGAGAGTGGAGTTTTGGAAGTTGGATAGCTTTTCATTTATGGTGTTGCCACATGTCGTTTTTCCTACAAATGAAGTTGCCACATGTCAATATTTCCTCCAAAGAGTTCTTCAAGGGTTGGCTTTATTATATTATATAGATATAGATGTGAGGCTCAATCCAAATTTATTAATAATCTAGATTCTTATTGTAAAAACACAAAAAAACGGGATTAACTAAAAATTCAATCCATAATAACTTACATTAACCCTCAAACAAATAGACCATAAGAGTATTTGTGGTCGACTGATTGAGGTGCAATGACATAAGGTAAAAGTGAGGAGGAAATGGGGTAGCCCACGAGTTAGCTTGACTGGGAATCATATGAGGAGTGCGTTGATTCTTCATGGCCCTCTTGCCATCCTGAAGCTCATAAATGACAAATGTGTTATACATGGGGGTGTTTGGTTAGCAAGCAATCTATCAACCATTTCTTGACTGATTTGATCATATTTGCCTTTTTTACCAAATCAATCTGCTAATAAAAGTGTTTGATTAAATGACTTTTTCAATTGGCTATTTGTTCCAAACAATCAAAATATGAAAAGGCATCCATCCTGGCGTTTACCATCAGTGTTTCGTATATTTCCTGTACTGCCCGTGCCTTTTTACGGTATATGAACGGGTGATTGTAAACACTATTTTACAAACTACTAATACTATCAACTAATCAAAACAGCCAACGAAACCCACTTTCATCAACCAGCTAACACAAATACGCATTCAGCCAACATCTAACAACCAACAATCATTTGTCAAAACTTTCCCATAATGTTGTTTAGTACTATCATATTTCTTTACCCTACAAATATTATTTATATTGTACCATAAGAAGTAATCATAAAGGGTAAAGTTTTTTTGAAAGAAGAAAAAAAAAATTATATTAAAACACTAATCTAACTATGAGTTACAACCATTCAAAATCCACTACCTATCAAACAAGAAAAACTTCATCTTGACTCAAGCAACACCCTATGATCAGTCTTTAAGGCAGTCACATCAGAAAAAACATCACGAATCGCTGACCACCAAACGTACAACATAGAGTTCTTACTAACCCTTAAAGTCATCATGCTCTTCACGACTTCACTATACTCGTAACAACCAAAGGTCCACTCAGTCCTTGTTCACGCACAGTAAAATTCACCAAAAAATGAGTGAAACTTTTCGCCGAACATACAAGAGCCTTGAATCAAATAACGGCCTCAGAAAATCTCAATACATTTGATCCTAGTGAAGTTGGACATCTCAAGAATGGCACTAACACAACAAATTCAAAATCAAGAAAAATTGTCACATGAAAGAACAATAAAACTTGAAATAAATATAAAGCAGCAAACCAAATGTGACCATATCCAAACTTGAATCATCATCTTTCAAACCTTAGCCAATCGTTCGCTGCATGGAGGGGGTTTAGGAGGGTGACGAACCAACAACATACCATCATCTTTCCCCAAGATCAAACAATCGTAAGACTGATCTTGATCATCAAACTGGCCATGTTTCTTGTTCATCTCGTTCTCCCACTTCTAAATAAATACCTAAAATTCAAGTCCAATATTGATTCAGACCGGCCAAAACATATTATTTTTATATTATAAACAATTTCTTATAAACATTTATAGTTTGTCGAAGTTGAATATGATTGGATTTTGTATGGGTGGCAGAGAGCAACCGAACATCCAGCGTCTTTCGTTCGCAGGAGTGGTATGTAAAATGAGTATCTCTAAAAAAGGTGGACGACTCCCTAGGGGTTTCTAGGGATGATTTTTCCGGGGAAGTTTCTCTTGCATCCGCCGTTTTTTCCAGACGAGTGCTAAGGTTAATTTATGAGATGGCAAGTTCGTCGTGTCATATAGGAGGGAGATTCAATTTTCTGATGTTGCAGTAGGAGGCTAGATTGGTTGGCAAGAAGGCAAAGGCATGACATGGAGCGGTACAATCATGAAGCAAGGCGAGTTTGATATTTTTGTCCAGATCTACGATCTTTTGGTCTTGAAGGAAGAAAATAAAATATTGATGGTCTGTCCCTCTCTTGAACCATCGCCATGGAATGAATGTATGACTAGGATTTGGTCAACTGCAATTTCTTGCTTTACTTTTTATTCAAGCTTTATTTCTCTTCTGTTCGACTTTTTTACCTTATTTTTGGATTATTATTGTTAGTGGCGGTCTTGAACGAACCCAACTTTTTAAAAACCGTTCAAAGCAAGAGTTAAAAACCAGTCAATAGCTCAAACCCCACAATCTATCGTTCAAAAGGAACCATCTGGACTCATTAAAACTCTATGATCAGACTCTAAGACGATTACCTCCAAAGAAACGTGTGAATCACTGATCACCAAACAAAGGAGATAGACTTCATACATACACTTAAGGTCATTGTACTCTTCATCACTTCACAAACCTCATAATAGCCAAAAGGTTCTCCCTGATCATACATATAAAAGTTCATCCAAAACTTAGCGGAATTTTTCACTGAACATAGTCAACATACAGAATCTTCAAGGCAAATAATGGCCTTAAACATCTCAAGACTGCCACTAACAATAATAATCCAAAATGGTAATTATTGGTTAAAAATTCAAAAATGATGAAAAATGAAGAAATTTTTAAACGACTTTAGTTCCGGACCAAAGTGGTTGTGGTCCGGTCCGGTCTTGGACCGGTGCTCATGTGTAGTTTACGAAGTACTCAATATTGTTGAGAAAAAGGGAAAATAAATTTTCGAGCTATTGATGCTTCTAAAATCATACTTCTGAATCGAAAGATTTTGCAAATACAACTTTCATCTATTAAAATGGAGCAAAAAATTAAATTTCCACTAACATTGAGTTGACTAAGTCACCGTGATTTACAATCTCTGATCGAGGTGTGGGGATCTTGAGATCGGGGATTCAACCTTTCCAGGCAACCTTTAGGAAGAGTGCAAAGTCTGATAAAATCACCATTTCCATGTTTATTTCCCTTTTATCTGTGTATATAATTTTGGTCAACGGTGAAATCCATTATTTCAAAGTGATAACCCGCTTTGACCTGGTTAATCCGTGTCCCGATTTACCGGTCCCGGCAACATACGATTTTATCCGCACCAGCATCGTATACTCGGAAATTCGACGCTGGGAGGAAGGGACAGGGGCTGAATCAAACAAACTTACCTATCAAGACATCATCATCGTACTGCTCAAAATCCCAATCCTCGTCGATTGCTATTAATGATGTCCTCGCCGAAAAAGCCGCCGGCGGTGAAATCCGAACGTCCACCGACGGCGATCACGCACCAACCCGCCTCCCCTCGCTTTCCATCCGCGACACCCACCGCGGGGGCACAGCGTAAGATCGCAATCGCCGTAGATCTCAGCGACGAGAGCGCCTACGCCGTGAAGTGGGCAGTACAGAACTACCTCCGGCCGGGCGACGCCGTGATCCTGCTACACGTCCGACCCACCTCCGTCCTATACGGCGCCGATTGGGGAGCCATCGATCTGTCCGTCGTGTCGGAGGCCGCGTCCGCCAGCGACGAGGAGTCGCAGCAGAAACTCGAGGACGATTTCGACAATTTCACGACCTCAAAGGCGAACGACGTGTCGCAGCCGCTGGTGGAGGCGAATATTCCGTTCAAGATCCATATCGTGAAGGATCATGACATGAAGGAGAGGCTCTGCCTGGAGGTGGAGAGGCTTGGGCTGAGCGCTGTAATAATGGGTAGCAGAGGATTCGGAGCTTCCAGGCGAAGTGCTAAAGGGAGGCTTGGGAGCGTCAGCGATTACTGCGTGCAACACTGTGTGTGTCCTGTTGTTGTGGTGAGATATCCAGATGATAAAGATGGGTGTGCGGGTCCCACCAAAGCTGCTGACGAGGATATGATGTGCCTTCACCCTGTGCCTGAGGAAGAAGCCATTTATCACGACGCCTCAGACAAAGCTCCAGGTAATATATCTGTCTATCCATCTCAAAGATTGGAACTTTTCACATCACCAATGAAGTAAGGTGTATATTGGTAAAATATTATGAACTTATGGAATATAAAGTATTATGGAGTGTGTAGTTTGCCGCATAAATTTACATTACACATGATGCATATTGGTTTGAATAATAGCAACTTGGTTGTAGTAAAGATTTCAACTTTTGACTTCAGTTTGATCATCGTGTTATATTTTCGTATTTTATTGATTATTATATATCTTCATGAAATTGTATTTTGTAAGTCGATGAGACTTGAGAGTGATGTTTCTGATTCAAAAGACTATATTTTACTTTTTTATTTCTATGCTTTATTTGGTTTGGGGCTCATACATGAATCATGTAATCTGTATGTGCTAATGATTTGAAGGAGATTGTCTCTAGAGTTTATGTTAGCCTACATTATAAGGTTATTGCGTTTATCACTGTAATATACGATAGTAGTAAGTAATTTGGTGATTGATTTCAATTGGAATGGTGATATGATTCTTCTGCTTCATTGCCCTAGGTGTGCTTGATTTGTGCAAGTTTATTTAGAATTAGAAGAAGACTAATGCTAGTTCACCCCCCTCCCTGTTTCGCTTCAATGAAGTAGGATTATGGGGAAGTGATATGTTGATTTGTTAAACTACAATTTATGGACCTATGTGAGATTAGCAAGAGGATGCCTATGGTAGGCTGGTAGCTGACTATGGAAGATGAGTTGGATGGAAAAAGAGTTCCAAGAATACTCTTTTGTTTTTCAATTTCAACTTGTTTGACTATTACAATATGCTTTCCTTTATACAGGATTACAACTGTTTTGTAATAAGGCAATGTCTGACAAAACTGGAAACTAATTAAGTCAAACAAATTAGGAAAATCACATCCGTGAATTTCGGAAATCAGATCTCTCAATGAATGAATGTATCATGAGATTTTTGAGGTCTTTCTTAAATTAGTGTGGTCCTCTGAGTGTCTGACACCTTATAAGTAATGTATAAGTTAATAAAAAATATGGAATGAAAAACATCACCTCTCTTGGTCTATTTTTTTTAGAGGTAAGTTTGGAAATTGGAACACGGTTTTTGTAGACCTCTTTGCATAAGAATGTGATCTAATCTAAATTTGGTAAGGTTTGGTCTGGTGACTCCGTGCTGAATCTTTCTAGTTGTTTCTGCTCTAATCCGATTAAAATTACAACAAGAAATATGCATAAGAAAAGAAGCTTAGGAGAACATCACTTAAGCCTATATCTTAAAATTTATAAAAATGTGAAGAGATGATAAAATACGAGATCATATAACATTCCAATCACCATTTTTTCATTGTTACTGTCCATAGAGACCTTCAAAGGACCATGAGCCTGTCTCTCTGTTGTTTAATTTGGTTTCAGACATCCTACGCCTGTGGCTCTCTTCTATGCTCGATATGTGTATTGTGCCTGACTAGTTTCTATTTATCAGCTCTTTAGCTACTACTTATAACTGTGCTTAGTATGCATTTCAGTTTCTTCAATGAAAAGGTTATTACTTATTAGGTCTACTTGAATTGATGTGATGACAAAATGAGAATTTAATGTGGGGATGTTTTGTGTAATTGATTAATGTCAGGATGGAGTATGCTTATGAAATATGATTTTTCGTATTCCTTTTTGTGACTAAACTTCTCAATTTAGAACAAAGGAAAAAAGGTCAAATAGGCCCTCGAACTTACATAAAAAGGTCAATTAAGTCCTTATATAGGAGGCTCTGTTCGTCCTTCGTCATTTGGGGCGGTTCCCAGTGAAATTTTTTGATGAAATTTTTTGAGAATCTTATTCATTAAGTCTAATTTACTCATACCAAATTTCAGCTAAAACTTCAATCGGGAAGGCATTCAAATGAATTATTGAAGATAACCGCGCAGTTAAAAGCGCAGTTATCTTCAAGAATTCATTTGAATGCCTTCCTGATTGAATTGTTAGCTGAAATTTGGTATGAGTAAACTAGACTTAATGAATAAGATGATCAAAAAATTTCATCAAAAAATTCCACCGGGAACTGCCCCAAATGACGACGGTCGGACAGAGCCTCCTATATAAGGGCTTATTTGACCTTTTTATGGAAGTTCGAGGGCATATTTGACCCTTTTCCCTAGAACAAAATAGGCTCTTTTAACATGCTTTATTCTTCAATGCTTGCATCTTCAACTTTTTGTCAAATTGGTGGATGAAGCAGCATCTTGTGATGATAGTGAAATTAGTCATTGGTTACTTGGTGAGTATTAAATTAGTTTTCTCTATAGTTCCATGAGAAAATGCTGAATTTTCCCTCTCATAGTTTATGATTGTTCATAAATGCAAACCCTGTGGCTTATTCTCTCTTGAATAGGCAAAGACTGAAGTATGGAGGATTCATTAACCTGTAATTCCATTTATTCACCATCTTGCTTATCCATTTATTAGAGAACTTCAAGTTTATTATCTGTAATGAAATCCTCCTTTTTTCACGTTGTCATTTTTGTTACTATAGCATTTGAATTATAGCATTTTCTTTTCCTTACAAATATGCCCGGTCTTAAGATGGCCTAATGTTGCATGGAACGAATTGCTATTCAAGTGTTTCTTATACATCCATCATCTCATCAATATGCATGCTAGCATGTTATGTTGATCACTCACAGTTATTCTTTTCCATGTAATTTATAATAATGTGAGTTTGGTTGTGGCCTGTGGGGCTGGTCGGATATGTCCTATGTATGGCAATGGAGTGCGAATGACCAGATAATAATTATGCGGATCAGGCCAACAAAAGCGATTTAAAGCACACCTGGCTGCATCTTGAAAAATTCATCAGTCCTTAAGGAATATAGAAAACAATGTTTAGCTTCAAAGAACACGGTTAAAATATTCCTTTTGTCACCGTAGAGGAGATAATTCGTAATTGAATAATAGTCATGGTCAAATCACACTAAAAGATTATACATTATGCACATGCCCCGTTGTTTGACCGGGATGAGTAAACCATTTCTGGCTAAACGTTTGATATGATGTGCAGATATGGGGAACACATCTTGAGAAAACAAAGATGACAGACAAGGGATGTTTAGAAGTGATGGACAAAAGGCAGTTGGGTTGTGGACTCCTATGTAAACGCGAGAAACAGAAATGGTAATCCGGCGTTCAGTTCTAGCTGGTTAAGTGTGGAGTGATCGGTTGGCCTTCACCAGCCTGCATTGTTTTTCATGTACCAAAGATATATACTTTCCAGACTTGCTTTTCAAAGATTTCCCCTACCACATAAGTCATTTTCTAAACTTTGAAATGCAGTTTATGTTTATATTGAATGCGTTTTGTGGGTTGATGTTCAATTAGCCAGTACCTTCAGCATTAGCTATGTTCTATTTTTTTTTAGCTATGTTCTATAGATTCAAAATGCTTTTATCAAAATATATTGTTTTGTTGCTGGTATACTTAATTAGTTAATTATCTGCCATCTACGGGCTAAGTGGCTATAGAAAAACACTTGCCAAAGAGTAGGGAAGGGGCCGAGAAATATTCACCTCCCATCATATGGGATGCTGTACTTGGACTGAAATTTTATGGTTTAGTCTGATCTGATTTGGTTTAGTATGTCTAAGTCTGATCTGAACTTGTTTGGTTTGGTTCGGTAGGTGTTTGATCTATATGTGGTTTACAATTGTCAATGTTTGGTCTGATCTGTTTGAATCCAGTATGATCTAGTCTAAAACTAATCCAACTTATCCAAGACTTGAAAACTCTAGCAAATAACACTTCCCTAGTGTATAGTCATGGACCCTGTTCGGGCCGCCCGGGCCGGTCCCGGGCCTAACTGTCCAATTTTTTTAATTTTTTTTCCTTTTAATTAAAAAAACCCTTTTGGGCTCTTGACCCACTTCCCAAACGGCTATATAGCCGTTGGGTGGGTACCAAGGGGGGTCCGGGGCCTTTGGGGGGTGGGGGGTTAAAAAAAACCAATAAATACTCCTAATTTTAAACATTTTTTCACACCTCTTCTCCAACTCTCCCTAAATCCTATTCTCTACTCATCTCCATATTCATCTTCTAAAATTCTCTTATTCTCCATTATATTTTATTTTACTATTTAATACTTATACAATTATTATATCTACTTTTATATTAATTATCTACTTATAAATACATATACTATATTACTTATATTTCTTATCTACTTAATCTCTACTTATATCTCTTAATACATACATACATACTACATCTACTTAATATATACTTTATATATTAAAGTATTAAATATACTTTATAAACTATTACTATATACTTAATACATAAAAATATCTACTTCTCTACTTATATTTCATATATACTTATTTTCTTATTCTCCAATCTCTCATTCTCCATTATACTCTAATATTTAATTCTTATACAATTATTATATCCACTTAAGACATACATTCCACATCTACTTAATATATAGTTTATATATTAAAGTATAAAATATAAGTGTATTACTCATCTTATAGTAGTATACTTATATATTATATACTATAAACATTATATTATATATTAGTTACTATAACTAGTATTATACTAGTTAATTAGTTCATTAGCATTCTTGTTACATTTTTCATTATACTAGTTAATTAGTCCATTAGCATTCTTGTTACATTTTTCATTATACTAGTTAATTAGTCCATTAGCATTCTTGTTACATTTTTCATTAGGGAAAAGGTGCAAATAGGCCCATGTACTAACCAAAAAAGGTCAAATAAGCTCTTATTTAGGAGCATCTTATTCAATAAGTCTAGTTTACTCATACCAAATTTCAGCTAAAATTTCAATCGGGAAGGCATTCAAATGAATTCTTGAAAATAACTGCGCAGTTAGAAGCGCAGTTACATTTTTCATTATACTAGTTAATTAGTCCATTAGCATTCTTGTTACATTTTTCATTAGGGAAAAGGTGCAAATAGGCCCATGTACTAACCAAAAAAGGTCAAATAAGCTCTTATTTAGGAGCATCTTATTCAATAAGTCTAGTTTACTCATACCAAATTTCAGCTAAAATTTCAATCGGGAAGGCATTCAAATGAATTCTTGAAAATAACTGCGCAGTTAGAAGCGCAGTTACTAGTTAGAAGCGCAGTTACTAGTTTTTCAATAAAGATACTAGTTTATACCTGAAACATGATATAAGAAACCTATAATCAACAGTGCACCCTGAAAGTGTAAATGAAATACATTTCCAGCTCGTTGCCTCAAAATTTATGGGTTCATTTGGAACTCGGAAAATCTAAAGGATAAAGAATTGGGAGGGACAACATAAATAAAAATAGGAAAGTAAGGGGGTAAAAGATAGAGGTAAAAACAATGCTCTATGTGTTTTTTACTTATAGGCAAAATAAATCATACCTCATACAGGGAACAAACTGGGCTTGAAACTGTCAAGCATGTTAATAATATCACCAACTTTAAATTAGTCTTCATCAAAGGAAAATAAAGAAACTAAAATTATCAAAATGTCCAATAAAGGCACATGGTTCAATTATACTCATCCACTAGTGTAAAATATTCTCAAACTTGATACAGGAGTACAAGATGGTAAATGAACATTACTTTAACTTAGACAAAATTGACAAAGTCATATTAAGGTTTAAAAGTGCATCATTGGCAGAATGGAAGAGAGCTCATTTTGCTGAGAACTTTATTCCTATGGTTAATATATCCAAGGTATAGTGTGGGGAATGGGTGAATTGTTTTTTAGATGAGGGTGTTGTTAGGATTAAGGAAAACGCTTGTATTGGGGTGTACTTTTAGACACGCGTCTGCAAGTATACTAGAGGCATGAGTAATAGTGAAAAAATGTAACACTTAATAACACTTACTATTGGCTCCACAGCCAAAAAAAGTAAAAAGGCGTGATTTTGGAAGCATTGAGCTGACAAATGGTCCAGTGAATGTAAGACCAGCTTATAATCAGCAATCCCGAGAATTGATTTGAATCGACAAAGCATTTGAATTATAACAGCAATCCAGTGTGAGGCCTTTCGCTCTCTTCCATTTTTTAAATTGGGCATTGACTATGTTTTGTTTATTTCTTGGGGTAGTTATTGATTTGCTTTATAAAAAAATAATTACACTCATTTATTGTTCATTTAGAAAATCAAACTTTAGTCATTTTTTTGCAGGAAATGTCCGATTTGCCACCATTTGGTCGTGGTACAATACAACGTAAGCGAAAGGCGAGTGGAACACCAAGATTTGTGAGTCGCTCACATGCTCGCTCTACATCTCCGGTAGCGACCCAACCTCTTAGATCACCATCCACTGCAACACCTGATTCATCATCACCAACACCACCAATTGGTTCATCATCAACTCCTGGACTTGTCTCATCTCAGTCTAATCCACTATCTACCACATCTACTTCTACAAGTAGTGATACAAATATTCCAAGTTCTAATTCTGAGCAACAAGAATATATTATTGACTCTACAGGATCAGATGGTCGTTTGTGCATTGGAGTTAAACATAAGAAGTAATTATTTATTAACTAAAAAGTTTTATAAGTTGATGTTATTTATTTATATTAAATACTTCTTGTGTGAGAGTAAATCATTAAAACTATATCTTTATTGTAGATTAACACCTTCAGAGAAATGCTCCAGAGTGATTACTTCCTTGTTCAAGGAGAGAGTAGACCCTAATGGTCATTCATGGGCAACCTTAAGTGAAGATATAATCAAGTTTTACTGGGATGAGTTTAAGGTATTTTACATTTTATTACATTTAATTAATATCTCGATGTTGCTAGCAACCTTTTGTTTATAGGATGTTATTGCATAGGAAGAGAAAGTCTGCCCTAATACATATTATGGTTTTAATTCACATTTAAATTATGTAATGATTTGTAGAAGCATTGTTTTTGGAATCCTATTATTGAGTCTTCAATCAAGGTAGCTTGGACCAGAAAAGCAGCAGAAAGATATTCCAACTATCTTAGCAATATGAAAACTGGAAGATGCAAGAAAAATCCATCAATTGCACAAGATGTTTGGGACACTTGGAAAGCTGTCTGGAACACTGAAGAATTTCAGAAGAAATCAAATCAAAGCAAAAAAAATAGGCGTCAAGGTGAATTGGACAAACCAGCTCCCTCTACTCATACGAGCGGAGCAAGATCTCATGCCACAGTTGCTAATGAAATTGTAAGTTCATTATATTATGACTAAAGCAATTTTATTATTATATTTTTTAAGGATGATAATAGTTTTTGATCATTATTGTATAGGAGAAAAGTTCTCAAAGCACGGTGACAGCTTATCAGGTTTTTTTGCATACGCATACAAAGAATAATGATGGGGAGACTTTTATAAATGATCAAGCTAAACAACTAAATGTAAGTATTGTTTGAACTTTATTTGGAAATGTGTACTCTTATAATTAATTCATACAAATGATTGCAGGCAGAATTTGTGACGCGTCGTGAGGAGTTGATTGATATTGGAGAAGAAGTTGATGATGATCAATTGTTTTGTAATGTTGTTGAACTTGGCTCGTATGGACAACATTTTATTCGGAATCATGCACTAGAACTCTCTTCAGAAACAAACACTTCATCACAACAAAGTAAGCATGCTGATACAGATCATTTACAAAGTGAAGTTCAAAGGTTGCAAGAAATTGTAGAGCAACAAAAGGAGTATCAGAAACAAACAGAACTAAAGCAACAGAAGACAGATGATGTTATTCGTGCTTTGCAGGATCAGATTGAAGCTTTAGCTCGTGATAGGTCTAGGAGTCTTTGAGTTGTGATACGAACCTTGTTTTTTTGGTCAATACGTACCTTGCTTTTAATTTGTCTCTTGCATCTTATTCTTTAATAGTTTAGGTTTTGGTATGTTGAACTTGATATCTATTCAGTACTTCTAAGTTTCATATTAAATTTTTTTATTAGCAAAGTTGCTTAGTGCATATTTTATTTAAATAAATAGTTATTATACTATTCAACTCGTGTAGTTTGCAATACTTATTGTAAACTATTGCAAGATAAGTATGCAATGAAAATAAATTATATATATATATATATATATATATATATATATATATATATATATATATATATTTTCTGGTGATGCATTAGTGCAATAAATTTACGCAATGGATGATACGCAGTTGCAATTTTGCAATGCTAGTGGCAATGAAATTTTAAAGCAATTGCACTTTCATTCAGTTGCAAAATTTCAACATTATTTGCAATGATTTATAATTCATGTTGCAATTTATGTCGTGTAAATTGCAATGATATTTGCAACAAAAATCAAACCTAACCGTGGTTAATTATCTTGCATTATTACAACGGGACTCGCAATAATGCTTAACGTCGTTGCAAAAATGCAATGAAATTTGCAACTCATGCTCCATTGCATTTGTTGCAATGAAAACACATGCATTGCAATTTTTGCTACGCG